GGTGACCCAATTACATACCTAATGGGCCTTTGTCAGCTTTAACATGCTATTAGGCCTTAATGGTCCATTTGCATTGCTAATAAGACCCTAAACATTCATAATATGCTTAATGGGCTATAACGTGTCCGTAGCATACTCGACAGCCTGTAATAACATACAAAGTTAGTGGGCCTCCGTTGTCCTCTTTTCTTCGTCTGTTAGACTTACATTTTATACAAGTAAACATAAATCGGGTTGTAAAACAATGTTATTCAATTTCATTTGGATTTAGTGAGAAATAACGGGTGACACCAATAAGTGTCGGTCGTAGTCTGTAGTTATAATCAAAGTCTCCTGGAGGGAGAGCGAGAGTTTGTGTATAGATCTATACGGGGGTGACTCCCCCACACCTAAGCTGTTCGCTACAGTTAGACTCGGCCAGTTTAGGGTGACAAAATCTTTATTCAAGACCGGCATTCAATAAGATGCCAAGACAGGCGAATTAGTCATTATTATGCATGGTTATAACGACTCACATAGAGATCCATTACCATCTAAGTAATCATTGGGAAATCATGTTCACATGCTGTGACGATACAATAATACAAACTATCATACTATTTTTATCGGAAAACATCGGGTTTTCCGGGGGAACAACATTATTCACTTTTACTTACAACAACTATAATACAAGAAACTATTATGAAAAACATATTACTTTTACATGTTTTGAAATCATTCACACATATACTTATGGATCATCACACCTTTTTCGTAAACAATTCCTGTTTCAGAAAATATCGGATTTTCTGGGTTTTACAAACAATACAAAACATTTTCATATCAAACCTGCTTACGAACTCACCAACATTATATATGTTGACCGTTTTCAAAATAACTTGTGTTCTCAGGTAACCGTTAGAATGAAGAATTATCAAGCTTGTGTCTGAATGTCTTTTGTGATGTCATTTGATAAACAATTTATGTTTTGGGATTATGTAATGTAAACAATGTATTTGATGTGAACAATGACGGTTGTAATGTATTAATGCATGGTGATGCTTATGTTATGTTTCATGTATATTCATTGTGATGATATTTCAATTTAAGTCACACGAGCCCTCAGACGTTTCCGCCGTCTGGTTCGGGGGTGTGACACACTGTCACCTCCGTCAATTATACCATCGTCACCTCTGTCATCACCACTTTTCTTGCCACCAACTGTCATAATCATATATGATTACTGAACATACATATATGTATAATCATTTATGATTACGCATACATTGCTGTTGTCGGTACACTGAAGCGTTAGAGCGACAAATGAGAAATGTATGGCTCAGGTTGAATCTCAAGATCTCTACTTTTTTTAATCTCAAGTGAGACGTCCCATATATATATATATATATATATATATATATATATATATATATAATAGATATATATATATATATATATATATATGCTGAAGTTGTTTTTTTTTTGGAAAACTGTCAGAAAAGTCCTAATTTTTTTTAACATAAAAAGTCCCGATTATTTCATTTTGGCTCAAATTAACAAAAAAATAATTTTTTCTTTTAACATGGAATGACATATTATCATGTAAAATCAAATAATCGGGAATTTTCTGTTCGAAACATAAAATTCGGGACTAAAGTAAAACTTTTCCGAAAATATTAGGACTTTTCTGACGATTTCACTTATTTTTTTATTTATTTATTTTAGTGTGGCGTAAGGGAGTCGAACCTGCGCTTATAATATACCAACACAAGCCTCTTACTAGTTGAGCCGAAGACATGAATTGATTTTAATCTATCACTCTCATATATATATATATATATATATATATATATATATAATATATATATATATATATATATAAATTTTTAAATATATTTATGATTATTATTATTGTTGTATACGAAAAACATTATATGCTTTTTAAAATTATTTTTTACAAAAATTATTAAATAAATAAATAAATAAATTTTAAATACATATTTATATATAAAAAGCATATAGATGTAATAAATACATATAGAAAATGTATTTATATGTTTTATACTTTAAAATACGATTTTAATGTGTTTTTCCATTCAACGTATTTATACGTCCTTTACTTAGTAATACTAATAATAACAAATAATTTGAAAAAATATGAACAAATACATTTAATTGGAAAAGAAGAGTTTAAAAATGTTTTTTAAAGTATATATATATATATATATATATATATATATATATATATATATATATATATCTATATATATATAGATATATATTTTTTCTGTATGTATTTTTTTTTTTTTACATTTATATAGTTTTTACATATAAAATTATGTGTTTATTTATTTAATAATTTTGATAAAAAAAATTAAAAAATCATGTAATGTTTTTCGCATATAATAATAATAATAATAAATAAAAAATAACATATTTAAAGATTCATCATTATATATATTATATATATATATATATATATATATATATATATATAAAGTGATGGATGAAAATCAATTCAACTCTTGAGCTCACCTGATAAGAGGTTTTTGTTTGTATAGATTAGGCGTAATTTCGAATCACTAGCACATTATTTAAAAAAAAACTTTAGGATATCTATTCCAATAAATGCAAACCATTTTGGCACGTGTCATTTCTTCAAGGCTTTTATCAAATGTCATTATTTGAAAATTTGAAATTACTTAAATACCACATGTCATTATGAAGTATTTATATTTGTTATTAATAAAAAATTAATCAATTTCAATAATTAATACTTCTATTATATATTTAAAATATTCATTGTATTAAATATGTATGTCAATACTATAACTGTTGAAACATTTATTATTTAACCTAAGATTATTTTTCTTCATAAACTGAATATATAATAATAAACGGTTTGTTTTTTTCTAACATTAAAATTATTTAATATATTTTTTATTACATGAATTAAAATAATGAAATGCTATAAAATAATATTGTCAAAAGTGAGATATAATAATTTTAATGGTTGGTTCTTGGATTTTAAATTTTCTGTAACTAATTCCTTTTCAAGATTATTTTTGCTTAGCATTTTATCTATCTATAATATCAGTTTTTATTTGTTATATGACAATTAAGTTGTACATATAATTTACATATCATATATGTAATACAATTATGAAGAAAGAAAATGTGAATCCAAATATATAATATGGATATCAGCATACAAGTTTTAATCTATTTTCAATTTTAGTATTACAAAATCTATTATCTAGTGATGCTAAAGACAAAAGAAAAATTATAAAATTATATTTGGATAATCGGAGATTTAATTTTTTGTCCACCACGCCAAACGATATTTCTTTTCTATCATATATTTGATTTTTCTTCCATATTTTTTTATGTTACAAACTGATGTTAAGTATATTGATTAATTACTTATGTATAGACCTTTGTGACATAACCAATACATATTTGTATTAACTATTATTATTATTACATACCTAATGATCGTCATGATCATCACTGCTTTGAATCTATTTCCAATTTTAATTTAATAAATTCGTTATATATCATTTCCGATAATATCACTACGCTTATTTTATCTTTTTTTTTTCTTAATATACACGTTAAGTTACAAATATTTTACACCGTCTATATTTTCTCAGTGCTTTTCTAATTTCAGTAGCAACAGTCAAAACACAATCATTAAACAAATATACATATGTTGCCGGTACCAATCCAAATGTCAACCCAAATATATCATGTGGATATCAACATATACGTTTTCAATCTACTTCTGAATTAATTTGAAAAGTCCACCGTAATCTCACTGTTTTAATTATAACAACTATTACCTCATTATTTAAAATATGTCGATAGTTTTTTTATTAGTATAAATTGAATTACTTATTTATTCATTATATCGTTTATATTTATGTAAAAGTATTTTCTTTAAATAATGTTTAATGTTTACATATATATATATATATATATATATATTCGCTCTAATAAATAAAGAACTTTTTGCCACATGTCACACTCTCATTGATTTGACCACATGTCATTTTGTGGTTATTTTCAATTATTTTTTTTTCCACATGACATTTTGTGGTTTTTTTTTTATTTTATTGATTTCCACATACTATTTTAATGTAATAATTGCAATAAATGTAATAATAAATCCATATCAATTTTATTAATTGACTTCCTTCTAATTTCAAAATTTCTAAATTAAAGTTTCATTAGTTTCCTTTGTTTATTTATCTAAATTATTTGTTTAATTTAAAAGAAAATCAAACAATTTAATTTTAATAATTCAATATTTTTCTATTTTTTTCTTATAAATTCAAACTTCTCAAATATTTAGAATTTCATATTTTTTTATTTAAAATGAACACATGTAATACATGGGTTTTACACCTAATATATATATATATATATATATATATATATATATATATAAGGATGAAAGGTTGAAAAACAAATAAAGCTTCTAGCCCAACCGGTAGAAATCGGAAAAATCTTTTACTTTAGCCTATTATGACCTTTTCAGCAGGTCACCATGCTACATGACATATCATGTGGACGAATGGGATGATGTGACATGTCACGTCAACTACTTCCTTACTAAGGAAATGACATTTTTTTAGAGAATTGAAAAAAGAGATACATTTGAATCTCTTCCCCCTTCAGTTCTCTAAAAAAACTGTCGGTTTGAAAGGAAAAGACCTAGGTATGAATCTCTTCCCCTTCAATTCTCTAAAAAGCTGTCTTTTCCTTAATAAGGAAGAAGTTAACGTGACATGCCACATCAGCCCCCACATCATCATATGCGTCCACATGACATGCCATGTGGCATGGTGACCTGCTGCTGCTGAAAAGGTCATAATGGGCTAAAGTAAAAGTTTTTCTGATTTCTTGGATTTTTCTATTTAAAAGAATAATTTATGACTTTTAAAAAAAAATATATATTCCTAAAATATTGACGATAGAACAACAAAACCCTAGTAAAAGTTTGTTAACTTACATAGTTACATGTTCTGAACACAAATTGGGGGGAAAAGTTTTTCCACCGAAGAAAACTTGAAAATTCCCTCCAAAAATCAGCAAAATTTACATAAGGATACATATCTATCTCACTCGATGCAAACAGCATACTGCTACCAGAATCAGACAAGCCATTGAATCCATCATGTCAACACACGGTGATGATCTCGATCTTCTTCTTTCCCTTCAAGACAGGGTGCTAGAAACCCCTCCTTCTTCTCCTTCGCCCCATTCACCTGGTAATATATGTATATTTTATGCTATTGAACTCCAGCTTATTATTATTTTTTAATTAGTGTGTTAATTCGTAAAATCCGTGTGGGTTTCGTCTCATTTCGTTCGGAGCAAAAGCACACCGCATACTGCTATCCTTTACAGATTCAGTGTGCGTTTTGTTGATTGTTCGATTTACAAAAATAAATAACTCTAGCTTGTTAGTAGATTTGATCAAATTTGGATGAGGAGACCTATCCGTTAAACCCTAATCTGCGTGATTGATTGTTTGGTTGTTTGATTGTTCGATTTAGGTCAGTGAACTTTTTATTGCACATAATCTTATTGTTTCACCATCGCAAATTCAATTAGGGCAGTGCAATTTCTTCAACTTTTATCGGATTGCTTAAACTTTTAGAATATTGAAGGGTTTCTCACAATCTCTTTGTAACTGCACTGTAACTTTTCTTAATTTCCATTAAGTTCCTAATCTTTAAGCTTGTAATGAGTATGTTCATTTTCAAAAAACCTACGTGGATCTCTCTCAATATCTATATGAATACAGGATATCTATCTGACGATGGATCTGCAAGACAGAGGGGACATGCAGACATGTCTGTTTTCAGAACCGCTGTTGAGGATTGTCTAGATTATGAGCCTGAACCCTCCAAGAAACCACTCAAATCCAGCCATGGAAAGAAGTCAAGTGATGTTGATGTTGAAAAGTTTTCTGGTTTGAGAATCCAGTAGGTGATTTCATTTATAATTTCAAATACAGAACATGTATATATAAAGTTATATACACACAATCACACCCTAAGTTTTTTCTTATATCCCCTTTATTTTCAGGAATCAGTTGGTTTCTCGAACAGAATTGAGTGATCGATTAGCTGATATTCGATTTGTTCGTTTAACAGCAATAAAGTACACATCACAACCCTCTACTTTTTCTTCATTACTCTGATTGTTAAGTTCATTTTATAACTTTTGTACTATTTTAGGAATCTTTTATCAGGGGACACTCTTTCTGGATGTTGGGCAACTATTGGAGTTTTATGTGAGAAAGGGGAAATAAGGACTAGTTCTACAGGGAAACCCTACAGCATATGGACTATTGGATGTTTAGATGAAAAAACTGTTTCCCTTTTCTTGTTTGGAAATACTTATCAAAAGAACAGTAAAGAAGAAATTGGCACAATCTTTGCTCTATTCAATTGTGAAGTTAGGAAGAATGCAAAATCGGTACTACTTTTTACCTTTTACTGTGTTATTTATATCTTTTTTTACTCCAAAAAGATGGGGCATGGAATTGCTCTTATTCTCTTCTTTGTGCAAAAGACATGAATGCCCTTCTCATCATCATCATTGATCAGGGATAATACCATAATAATATAATATCAACATTGCTGTATCAATTTCTTTTCAGAAATCAGGATTTACTTTGACAGTTTTTTCTGCTCCACAAGTGTTAAAGTTGGGAACTTCTGCTGATTTTGGACAATGCAAAACTTGTAATCAAGTTATCAACAAGTATGTGATTAGAATCCTTTTATGTTTTTGTTAATATTTATAGTTTTCACTTCAAATCTTTTACTCTTGTTTTAGAATCCTTTATGTTCTTGTTAACACTATTTTTTTTTTTTGGGTTCTAGACGCCATGGAGTATATTGCAAGTTTCATACAAAGGTAATGTTTCTTGATCTTTCTTTTCTTTCCATTTTTGGTAATATCACACTAATTATATATTCATAATTACAACAGAATGCATCAGAAAAATATTCAACTAAAAGAGTAGAGTTCATGGGAGGGTATGAAAACAAATTTCCATATTTAGTATTATATCATCTTACTTTCATTTCTTTCTATTACAACTTTGTATTTTCAATTTTTATTTTTCATATTAATAAACAAATAAATAAAAGTAGGTTGCTATTTCTTGCATTTACTTCAGGAACTTAAGAACAGCCTTCAATTATAAAGAGAGAATGCAGACAGAAGGCATTTACATGGTTGAAAACCAGACAAATGTTTCTAAACCTGGACAACCTGCAAAAGTTCATTCTATTGAAGGGTTAAGAAGGGCATTGAGGTTTAAAATTAATTTCTATTTTTAGAAGTGAAAACTCTTTTAAATTATAAAAAAAGAAAAAAGAAAAATCATGGCCTTATATAATTATATGTACTTGTGTAACAGTAATGCAGGAAAAGTGACAACAAATACTTACTCACAAGGAATTCGATTTCTATCACAAGTTGCAGGTATTATTATTATTATTTATTATTATTATTATTATATTACATTAATTACCTTTTTTTTTTAATAATAATAATATTGTTGAGTAAAGAATTAAGTTGATTTACAGGGAAATCGAGTCCAGTTTTAAACAAACCAATTAAGAGCTCAACAGATAAAAGGTAAAATGTCATGATTCCTTCATTTATGTTTCTTTCTTTTTTTAGAAAGTTGGTGACTTTCTAATTTTCTTGTTTTTTTGGGTTTTTAATAAAAAAGGAAATCAGAGGTTGTGGGGTCAAATCCACCTGATGTCAAAACAAGTCAGCAACTAAATGCAAAGAGAGTAAAGATTGAAAAAAGTCAAATGCCACAAGTGAAAGTCAAACAAGGGAAAGAAAAAACGGTTGAGTTAGAATATGTTAGTTCTGATGATGAATCTGATTCTATTTTTTGAGATTTTAACTTATTAATGATTGTAGTTCAATGGAGATACAAAATGGTTTAATTTTAGATAGGTTGACTTTTTCTCCATTGAAATTTTGTATAAATTGTAAGAGATTAAATATTTTGGCTACTGTTTTCTATTCTACCCAAAAAGATAAGACTAAGGTTGGACTGAAGTTGTTCTTGAACTTGTGTGTGCAAATGACGTAAATGTCCTCTATACTTCATCATCAAACCATGTAAATGCCTTCTGACTGCATTCTCGCTTTATAATTGAAGGCTCTTCTTAAGCTCGGCTCACTTACACCCCTAGGACCAACCATGTAAGTTTTACAAACCACAAGGATCATGTTTGTCAAAAAAATAATAATAGAGACTAAAGTTATAACTTTTGTTAAACCATATGGACCATTTATATAATTTTGTTAATATATTAAGAGGTGGTCCATGTGAGTATGTGACTCAACATGTAAAACACTTAATTATACAGATCCTAGTGTTGGGAAGACCTACTTTTTGAAATATATGTCAAAAGTACAAGTTGTAGGTGAGTTTGTTTACTAGAAAATGTCTGGAAAAACCAACTACTTTCAAGAAGTAAAAAGTCAAACAAAGGAGTGAATGTGGTTGGATGTTCTCCACATGACTTGTTACTAACCCTATCTTATGATAGTGCCTTGGAATATTATATATATATATATATATATATATATATATATAATATATATATATATATATATATATATATATATATAGTGTCGTTACAAGTTGACAACTTGTAACCTAAATTGGTATACGAGTGTGCCATCTATTTCAAATGACTAAGCAACTAAGTGGAGTTACTCCGGATGTACAGTTTTATGCTAAAAAAGTTTGGTATATACAAGTTACAAGAAAATAAATTGTGTGTAATACCTTTTGATGATGATAATAGAAAATAGAACAAGCATATGTGGACCGGTTCTTTTAAATAAAATAAGTTTTTTGCAATTATCATTTTGATTGTAAACTGTTACCAACGTTCTGTTTATTATTATTATTATTATTATTGTTATTATTATTGCTATGCTTGTTAACTTTTTAGCGACATATTGGGCTTGTTGTTAAAGCCGTATTTGTTGCTTAATTTTCTAATAGTGTTTTAAACAAAATCCAAAATCATAGTCAATGTGCATACAACTAGAATATTCTTTTACAAATAGATGTATACTGGTAATTTAGCCTAAAAATTCAAATAATGTTTTCCAAACTAAAAGTCTATAACATGTTACAAAACGAAATAAAAATGTTTGATAAAACTGGAAATTCTTGGTGCATGGAAGGTTTGGCCTCCTAAAAGTTAGTAGGGGACATGTGTGGTTGGAGGTAGAAATGCAAAAGTGTCATTATTTGGGAACTAATTATTCCGAATTATGAATATGGACAAGTAGTTTGATGATGATTGAGTCTCACTTTACACTTCAACAACTACTTAACTAAACCCTTAAGAAATCATCCTTGACTTTTGTGTTGGTAATCATGCCACAATAAAATAAAGCTTCATAAAGCTTTATGTATTTTTTTTTTTCACATTTGTTTGGTATATTTGCCATATTAAGTAAAAATATTGTTTTTAAAAACAACCTAGATGCGTTTTCAAATTATATATCATATGTGTACTTAATCAAATGACTTATAGTCTAGCGTTGTCTGGAATTGATGGAAATGTATCCTTCATTGAAAGGTTGAGAGTTTAAGTCTCGATGAAGACGAAATGTATAAATTTAGGAGTAGGATAGTGAGTGAGTGTGTTAGCTGTTTTTTAAAAAAGAAACATGTTTAACCCTAGACGAGTTTAAATAAATAAGTATCATTAGTTTTGAACACAATTACATAGTGTTAAAATTCTTCATTCACATAATTTTTATTTCAACTTATCAATTCGTAACATGTATTTTTATTTCTAAAAATATTTTGCAAAGTAATTCATACACTTGTCTTTGAGTTTGCATGTTCTAGTTTAGCCTCCCCGTCATCCTTTGTAAAACTACATCTTTTTTTACACAAGTTGAAGCTTATGAGATTCGAACATGAGTCGGCTATATTTGAAATGTTTCATCCCTGCAAAGTTAGATTCTAAATTTACATGATTTTTTGTTAAAACATCAACATCAATATATTGTCACCTAAGTGTCAAATTTAGCAAAAAAGGATCACATAGTCTTGCTTTCTCTTTTTTAGTATTGGAATATCATTCTTAGGTGGTAGTTTAGTGCACCATTCAAACATGACCGGTTATCTACCTTCACTAAATACCACAAAACTTGATGTAACAGTTAACAAGTATTGAATGCTTCACGAGTACTCATTGTCTCACAATGTGTTAAATGTGAGGGCCATTATGACAGCAAGCAAACTTATTATAACGGGTCCTACCTAATTACATTTAACAATTTGTTCTATTTTAGACGTTATAAATATATGACACTCCTAATATATTATATGTCTAAACAATTAATATGAATAATCAACTTCTCAAAAAGTTTGGGTTTTTAACAAAAAGGAAAGTTACATAATTGTTCACAAATACTGAAGTTACCATTTGGCATTTGCAGCTAAACCACACAATATGTCTTTACAGTTAACCAACAAAACTGTTTTGTACAACCATCTAAATGGCATTTATATATTGAGTCTGTGGAATCATGCACGGGACCATAAGATGCGTTGGATTATTGGATTTATGTTTATATGCAATTAATGAAACGATAGAAATATCGTGTTTCAAACAGTTAATATATATAAGGTTTGTTTTCCTAATCATATATATTTATAGTTTTAAACTTTTATAGCTCAAGAAGTAGCATAGTCTTCGTTTTTAGCATATTGCTTCTAGTTTATCTATCACATGTCTTGGAGTATGTGACTTAAAAAATAACATATTGACGTTGGAGTATATATATAAATTGTATTAATGCATCTCATGGTCGATCCCTTCAAAACGCTTTTTGGTTTTGTATACGTTTTTACTTCCGCCATATTTGTATAATTGCTATGCATATTACGAAACCCTACTCTATCAGTAGGGTATTTTTGACGTCTTTGCTTGAAATCTCAAAATTTTATTTTATTTAGATCTTTTTACACATGGTTGATATTGATAACAAATAATAAACTAGAGAAAACGACTAGGGTTTAATTATTACAAGAAAGAGAAAATAAAGAGAAGAACAATCAAGGCCAGGTTAACTTAGCTAGAAGTCTATAACCCAATAAAAAAAAAGGAAAAATACAAAAATACAAAAGGGGCCAATAACCTATTATAACACTCCCTCAAACTCATAATGCGACAACAATAAAAATAGGAAACGAAACTGAGATGTTGATTGAGCCTTCGTGAATAAATCAACAATCTGCAAGGCCGACGAAACATATGGTAACAAAATGTTTCCAAGCTGTATATGATGGCGAGTAAAATGACATTAAATCTCAATATGCTTTGTTCGCTCATGAAAAACATAATTCTTTGCAATATGCATTGCATTGTTGTTGTCACAATGTAAGAGAGTAGGTTGAGAAACATTAACGCCCATTTTTGTAAGAAGCCAACGTAACCAATTAAACAATCTCACAAGTAGTTAGAACGATTACACGTACTCAACCTCCATGTAAGATCGAGAGACAGCATGTTGTTTCTTACTTTTCCATGAGATAAATGAATCTCCAAAGGAAATACATAAACTAGTGGTGGATTTGTGATCATTGGGATCGCTATCCCGATCAACATCACTATAGGCATATAGTTCTAGAGATGACGTTGAGAGAAACAAGATACTCTAAAACCGAGTGCCACAAAGATATCTTAGAATACGAAGAAGAACTATCTAATGAGCAATAGTACGAGCAATAACAAAATGGTTAACGAATGAACTGCATGGCTATATCGGACATATGATAGTAAGATAAATAGATTACCCACACCATTACGGTTCAAGCTTGGATCTGATAAAGGATCACCATCAGTCATAAAATATCGGGCATTAGTTTCAAGGGATGTGTCAATAGTTCTATTGTTAGTAAGCTTGACACATTTAAACATATCATAAATATATTTTAATTGAGATAGGAGACAAAATTTTAGAGATTGAGCAACCTTAGTACCCAAAACAGAACGAAGCCATCCCAAGTCATTCATAGTAAAACGATGAGCCAAATCACATTTCAAAGACTCAATGCCAACATAGTTGTCACCAATTATGCTCATTTCATCTACATATAATGATAAACGAATTTATCCTGCACTTGTGCATCTAAAAAACAATGTTGAATCGTGATTGGTGGGATGTCAAGCCACCAAGAAAATTGCATCATTTTGCTTGCAAATAAAACGTAATATAGTAGTAACAGGGGATTGGATCCACAGAGAAATGGTTGTAATTCAATTATCAATGCAATCCAATTGAACAAGTGAAGTAAAACTAAACAACTAAAATTAAACTAACGGGGGGGGGGGGGGGGGGGGGGGGGGGGGGGGGGGGGGTGATTTGTTTGAAAACTAAAAGACTTGAAGAATTAAAAAGCTTGCAATTAAGCAAGATGGTGAAATGCTCAAATATTAGAGATAATTGGTTAATTAAGGCAATCCAACACAATAAATACTTGTTTTGTCTATCATTAGGATTCGATATGTAAACTTATCATTCAACTCAAATTGGTTATAGCAATCATGAAACATGATATGCCAAAATTCCTCAAAGATAGTATGGAGGTTGAGAAAGCCCACAACACACATTCTTAATCAAAATCGAGGATCCAATTGAAGCAATTGGACTCAAGAAAATTGATTAACCTTAAGAATGCAGAAATTCTCAATTCCAAGAGGATGTCAATGATTATAAATCCATAAATGAGTCATGATCCATAAGTTAGAGATGATTTCTACCATCATAAATCTCTTAATCTAAGAAAATTCAATGATTCATTGCTAAATCAAAGAAAGAGACTAACAATTGCTCATCAAGTACTAAGTTCATGATCAAAGTATTAAATAAGCATAAGAATTATGA